GCGGTGAGTCCCCAAGCGGCAGCTGGAGATCAGGGCCAGCTTCCCTGCCAGAGCGTAGCGGGGGGGGGGGAAGAAACCCACAGATCAGAACCGGCGTCCACTCTAGCAGGGAGAGAGAGAGAGCCAGAGCTGACCACGCCTCCGTCGGAGAGTGGAGGGGCGGAGCAGAGGTCATTTCCAGCCAGCCCCTCCGAAGGAGGAAGCAGTGACAGGAGCAGTGTAGCCGTTAGGAGGAAAGTGGCTGGCTGGGCGCGCGCGCCAAGTTCAAATGTGCAGGCGCGCGGGTCAGCAGAGAATCCGGATTGGGAGCCAGGTCCCAAAGCCCGCCGGAGACAGGGGGAGGAGTCAGAGGAATCCGCCTCCGAAGAGTCCAGGAGGGGTGGAACCCCAGGGGGCAGGAGGACCCAGAGGAGAAGAGAGCAGAGGAAGAGGTGGAGCAAAGCTAGGGTGTTAAACTGGTGTATGGGAGGGGAAGAGTCAGACGGAGCTTCGACGGTCTAGAGTTACAGACATAGGGATGCACGCCACGGATGTATAACCAACAATGAACTTCAATAAAGACTTCTGTATATAAAGAGACACTGGCGTTGGTCCTTTGTGAGCTGGGACCTGAGGCACCCCTGACAACGTCTTTTGCTTTGATCCTGCTGCAGAACGGAAAGCAGACTTCCTTTTTAGTGCTAACCGTCTCCGAATCCAATTTCCTCAGTTTTAAAGTCCAATTAATCTTTAAACTTTAATCCTACTCACGGAAAGTTGTTTCTTGTTGATCCAATTTTTCCAGGAAGAATTCAGCGCTCTCCGCTAATGGCGACGCGGTTTCACTTCGCAGGCTGGGTAAAAGCGACTCTCAGCACCGCGCCGCACACCCGCTGCTGTTCCGTAGCCTTTAAAAAGGCTCCTTCACAGCGTTGGGGGGCGCAATGGTGCCCACAGAGTCTCCGGTTCACAGGCTTCGCGCCTGTGACTTTTAAGGGTCCCCGCTCCGCCGTAGCCGCGGGACCCGAACCTGCGAAGCAGATCTCCCTTCGGAGCTCCGGGGGAGATCCGCCATTAAGCGCTGGTGCTGACCGGAAGTCCAGGAGAGTCTGCTCTTTGAGGCTGGCAGTGGGGGAAAGCAACGCTTCCCCCATCGCCAGCCCCAGAGGATGGGGGGCAGCGGGAAGGCGCATGACACCTTCCTGCTACTCTCCAACCTGGCTTTGAGGCTGGCGGTGGGGGAAAGCAGGCGGTGGGGGAAACCCATGGAGGGAGAAGGGACTGACGGTTCGAGTCCGTACCTTCTCCCTCCTGTGGGCTTTTGTGGGAGATGGGGGAATTCCCTCACCTCCCGCAAAAGCAGGCAAAAGCCGTGCGCTCTTTAAAGGGGCAGCGCGGCTTCTGCTGGCTTTTCTAGGAGGTGGGGGAATTCCCCCACCTCGTAGAAAAGCCCGTAGGAGCCGCGCAGCCTTTAAAGAGTGCGCCGCTCTTTGGGGCTTTTCCCCAAGGAGGGAGAAGGGACTGACTGGTCGCTTCAGTCTCTTCTCCCTCCTGGTCGAAAAGCCCGCAGGAGTCACGCGCGGCTCCTGTGGGCTTTTGCGGGAGGTGGGGGAATTCCGCCACCTCCCTCAAAAGCAGGAAGAAGGTCTTGAAGTAGTGCACAGGCTGCGTGCAGCCTGTCCGCTGCTCCCAGAGCTGCGGGGGGGGATCATATTTTTTTCCTTGATTTCCCCCCTGAAAACTAGGTGCGTCCTATGGGCCGGTGTGTCCTATAGGGCGAAAAATACGGTACATAAAATTGGCAAAAATGACACAAAAAATAAGAAACCAAAAAGGTACAAAGTTTAACAATGAATGGAATAAATTTTTGACATATATTGAAACAGATGTAAGAAATTTAAAAATCACAGTAGGCTCGATATAGCACCTGCAACGTAAAGAGATTTAAGAAAGTGAAACTGCAGAAAGAAAACTTTTGTAACATAGTCCAAAACTGAGTTGAAGGGAAGTCAATTATTGTCGTGTTATTTAGTTATTGTATGTTTAATTTGTCGGTGTTTTTTGTTATGTAATGTTCTTCTTTTCCTTTTTGTTCTTTCGTTTTATCTTTTTTGTTTTATTAGTGTATTTAAAAAAAGAAGAAGATGGTTTTTTAAGAAGCGGTTTGATAACTGCCTCTTTCAGCGGGTCTGGGAAGGCTCCCTCACAGAGGGAAGCATTCACCACCCCACGAAGCCCATCACCTAGCCCTTCCCGGCTAGCTTTTATAAGCCAGGATGGGCAAAGATCAAGGAGACAGGTGGTTGGTTTCACTCGTCCAAGCAGCCTGTCCACATCCTAGGAGGTAACATCCACAGAGGATTGAGGCCTCTACTGCATCTGCAAGCTATGCCATGAAGCACACATTGCAATCAATTTTTATTGACTGGAAACAGAGCAATTGCTGCCCTGGGATCATTTCCCTCTCCTAAAATGGCGCTGGTGGCGCTCTGTGCCCTCTTCCAACATGGAGGCACTTCCATTGGCTATTTCCCTCTCCTAATATGGTGCCCGCGGCGATTTCTGCCTAAGGTCCCATCCCTCGCCGCCGGGGCTCGAAGCAGGGACCGCCTACCCACCGAGCGCAGAGCCCTGGCACTGGGCTTCCTTCGATCTCCTCCCTGTCCACGGGGACTCTCTTCAAAAACCTCTTTCCCCTTGCCCTGCCCCAGCCCCAACGAGGTCCAAAGGCAGGCACCTGCATTGGCCCTTTAAGGCGCAGGGTCTGCCTTGGGACTCCCTGGAGCTGCCAGGTAGGACTGGCTCCAGGGAACCTTGGCTTCCTTTGAGGGGTTTTTTGGGGGTGGGGTGGGGTGGGGTGGGATTTTTGCAGTCGTCACCTTCTCTCCTCTCCTCTCCCCACCCTGCCCCCTGCAGCGCAGAGCAATGCTTTTTGTGTTTCACATCTCCCCAGAAGGTAGTACTTTTGTTGTGATATGATCGTATTTCTAGAGCAGATATTCAAAGTACAAATTCTTGAACCTCAGAAGATGAGTAACGTTATTGTGATAGTTGGCTGGAATGTAATGACACATCCCCCTTCCATATGATTTTATGGTTTTTACATAATTTGGGGAAGGTGTTAATCCTTAGGGGCCAATGCACACTGGACATTACTTCACAAATATCAATAGTAAATGTCTTCGTCTCATGGTCTCTTTCTGGTAAAGGTAAAGGTAAAGGGACCCCTGACCATTAGGTCCAGTCGTGACCGACTCTGGGGTTGCGGCGCTCATCTCGCTTTATTGGCCAAGGGAGCCGGCGTACAGCTTCTGGGTCATGGTGCCAGCATGACTAAGCCACTTCTGGTGAACCAGAGCAGTGCACGGAAATGCCGTTGTAATGGTTCTAGGGGTTGCTCGTGCGTAAGTTGCCACCACTCCTGGCTAGGTTACCTGGTTGAACCCTTTCTGTCTGGACAGCCTCAAGTTTCATGGCTGTCTCAGTCACTGGCAGAATCCGTCAGTGGGCGTTTCTTGAACCTTTTCCACCATAAAAGCTCTTTGACGCCAAGTCTCCTCCTACTCTCCCTGTGTGGAAGTCTTCTGCGCAGGGAGGGTGTGGGCAGCAGAGTACCCGTACTCTCTCCACTGGTCTCCGGCGAGGAGTCCTGGAGCCTCCTCTCCGATTCCCCCCATCTGCCCCCCTTCTCCACTGGTGTTACGCTGATTTCCTTCCCCCGCAGATGGGCTGCCTCTCTCCCTACTGGGACCCTCTCCGGCATCCCTCTGGAGCCTTCCCTCCGCCTCTAGCTCCGATGGCAGTTCCCTGACAGCCGTTTACCTTCCTGCAGGAGCGGTACCTATTTATCTACTTGCACTTTGATGTGCTTTTGAACTGCTAGGTGGGCAGGAGCCGGGACCAAGCAACGGAACTCCCGCCGGGCTCCCCAGGCTTGCGGAGAGCTGCCCACCTCTCCCTGGAGTAGCACTCCCTGGGTTTTGGGCTGCAGGCTGCTGTCCGCAAGCCTTGGGCGCACCGACCCTTCTCGCTCTCCAGGCTTCAGCGAAAGCCTGCATTCGCCCCATAGGACACACACACATTTCCCCTTCATTTTTGGAGGGGAAAAAGTGTGTCCTATAGAGTGAAAAATACGGTAATTTGTATGTTATGTTACATAGTTTGTAGGTACATCATGTTTGTTTAATTTAGAGTATACATGGCTGACGAAGCCCGGTTGGGCGAAACAAGGTATTATCCCAGAATCCTTGTTGTGCCATACCTTCAAGTTTTCCATCTGATCTGATATCTACATACAATGCATGTTAGACTCCTCAAAGCAGCGATACGTGGAACATCATAAAATAAGCATACCATATTGTGGTTATTGCCAATATGCCACTTTAGGAACCGAATGGACTTTATCTCCTGACCATTCATTGGACTTTAATTTCTCTTGATATGTTCTGTTTGCATGATGTGTTGGTCTATGGAATTACACTTTGTGAGATATTATATGTTGAATTGTGTTTGAAATAGAAGTTACATAGTAAAAAACAGCCTATTATGTTGTGTGTGTTGTAACCAGGATTGTATTTACGCAACCTAAGGTTTAGTAGTATGTTCCATTAGCTAGGCCATCATAAGTTTGGACAAGGAAACTCTGGAAAGTACAATAAGCTATAGTAGAGGGTCAGTTTGTGGTGCTCTTGTGTATGTTTGCATACGTCTCATTATCTGCATGCTTACTCATGAGTGAACTCCATTCTGTTTAATGAGTCATCCTTGTTTTTGGTGCTTGAGCAAGGGCTCGCTGTGTGCGGGCCTGGAGGATCAAGCTGACCCTTGAGATGTGCTCAGAGGGGAGGAGAGCAAGGGCTTGGCTCAGTCAGCTGGCTGGCTGGCTCTTCCTGGCCCTGTCACTCAGCCATCCCCCAGTCCTGATGCCTGGGCATATTTATAGCCATGACCTGTCCCCTCGACTCAGCTGCTGGCTCTCATCTGCAGTGGGAGGGAAGGGAGGGGCCCCCTTCTTAGCCTCTGCCCTCCTCCTCTCCGCTTTTCCTGTGCTTGGTAGGAACCTGTAGCTGCTCCTAGAGCCTGGGAGGCTCTTTGTGTAGAAATTGCCCCCCTCCTGTTGCTGGCAGTGCTGAAAACAGAGAAGGTAGACAATCTCTGGGCTTGTTTGGTTGGGGAGGAAATTGGGGAGTGGGTTCTTGGGGAGTGATTGGGAAGGGGATTAATTGGGCAGGGGGCTGCTTTGGGATACAAAATGTCTTTTTTTCAGTGTGCTGCTTGCTGGGTGTGAGGGGCTATTTTTAGTCAGGTATGAAGAAGGCCTGGAGGGGCCATCAAATGGCTGGAGCTGATCCCTTCAGCATATGGCTCTGTGTGCGCACACCATAGGATCATATATGTTGAGCAAGACATGATTTAAGTGGGCAGGAATGTTCATTTATTGATTCTCTGAATTATCCATTCATCAGAAGTGAGCTGCCAGGCACTGATGAAACTAGGAGCATCCTGTTAGGTAGGGATGGAAAATTTGTTTTCTGAATATTGATTGTTTTTGCAAAGGTGGCATTGAGGCCCCTTCTGGAACCAAGACGTTTTCAGAAGTGTGCCAGTGTGGTGTAGTTGCTTAGAGTGCCACCAGGGTTCAAATTGCCATGGAGCTCACTGGGTGACCTTGAAGGTCAGCCACACTGAACTCTCTCAGTCCTAACCTACCTCACAGGGTTGTTGTGGAGATTAAATGAGGAGTTCCTTGGGGGGGGGGAGAAGGATAGAAATGCAATAAATACATAATCTAGGAACTGACAAAGATGGAGAGAGCAAGATCTAAAGTGTGAAAATGAAAAAGAAAAAATCCTGATGCAAGTTTTAATCTGCTTTTATTGTTAACATTGCTTTAACTTTTTGGAAGTCTTAAATTATTGTTGTTAATATTGTTCTTTTCATTGATATTTTTAAGTTGTCTTTTTTTGGAAACTGTTTTGAGGTTGTTGTTTTACAATCAAGCCATGTTTAAATTTTATGAAAATAAAATAAAAATAAAAATCCCAGAAGCCCAACTTGGTGGGATGAAGGAATGTTTCCTTTTAAAGAAATCAAATGGGGGGACTGTAATCATCGAATCATAGAATCATAGAGTTGGAATAGACCACAAGGGCCATCGAGTCCAACCCTCTGCCAAGCAGGAAACACCATCAGAGCACTCCTGACATATGGTTGTCAAGCCTCTGTTTAAAGACCTCCAAAGAAGGAGACTCCACCACACTCCTTGGCAGCAAATTCCACTGTCGAACAGCTCTTACTGTCAGGAAGTTCTTCCTAATGTTTAGGTGGAATCTTCTTTCTTGTAGTTTGGATCCATTGCTCCGTGTCCGCTTCTCTGGAGCAGCAGAAAACAACCTTTCTCCCTCCTCTATATGATATCCTTTTATATATTTGAACATGGCTATCATATCACCCCTTAACCTCCTCTTCTCCAGGCTAAACATGCCCAGCTCCCTTAGCCGTTCCTCATAAGGCATCGTTTCCAGGCCTTTGACCATTTTGGTTGCCCTCCTCTGGACACGTTCCAGTTTGTCAGTGTCCTTCTTGAACTGTGGTGCCCAGAACTGGACACAGTACTCCAGGTGAGGTCTGACCAGAGCAGAATACAGTGGCACTATTACTTCCCTTGATCTAGATGCTATACTCCTATTGATGAGCCCAGAATTGCATTGGCCTAACGCCACTCACACAGAGAGCTCTCAGCAGAGGGAAACGCCCGTGGATTTGTGTGGAGAAGGCCCTACCAGGAAATCCATGGTGTGAGGAAAACTAAGAATCTGAAAATTTGTAACCATTTTATGGAGAGAGCAAAAGAGGTCCCTTGTGCTTCAAACAGCTGCATAAGTCAGAAACTGAAAGGTGAAGCTATTCCTGGTATGGAGGTGCAATGGTGGGAAAAGCTTCATCTAGGTGCATGCACCTGTGTATATGTATGTGAAAGGCAAGGGGGCAAAGAGGCCATGACCCTGAAGGAGGGAGCCAAGTGGGTAGGGGGGTGGCGGGTGAAGTCATTTCATGGGCATTGTGCTTTGAGTGGCATATTTCATTTTAAGCACAGTATACAGTAATTACTGCATTGCAGGGGGTTGGAATAAATGAGAACATGAGACTCTAAATCTCACAGTTGTGGGTTGGAGCCCCATGTTGGGCAAAAGATTCCTGCATTGCAGGGGGTTGGACTAGATGACCCCTATGACTCCTTCCAACTCTACAACTCTGTGCTTCTACTTTTTCCGTAGTTGTCTCATTGCTCCTATTGAGACAGAAACTGGAGAGAATGTTAACAGCATTACACTGACTTAGAATAATAGAATTGTAGAGTTGGAAGGGACCCCAGGGTCACCTTACTAGGTGCAATGCAGGAATCTCAACTAAAGCATCCATGCCAGGTGGCCATCCAACCTCTGATTAAAAACCCCCAAGGAAGGAGGGTCCACAGCCTCTCCTTCCTTGAGGGAGATCGTTCAGCTGTTGACCAGAAGGTCTTTCTGATGTTTACTCAGAATCTCCTCTCTTGTAACTTGAAGCCATTAGAGTCCTACCCTATGAGTCTCCTTCAAGAGATCCTACTCTGCTTTCCCTGTTTTTCAGAAAGGACCCACCGTGGTGTAGGGCATGTGGAGATGTGCTTTGCTCAGGGTTAGATAGAAAGCCCTTTAAAGCAGGAGCCAGAAGCCTTTTTTAGCCCAATGGGCACCTTCCAAAGGGCACCCTCCAAAGGGCTGCATGCCAGCAGTGGTGGTGGGGCCCATAGGAAAAAAAGGGTGACTCTACTAGGTAACCACTCAAAAGCCAAAGGTTCCTAAACATAAACACCCTCCCCTATTTATTAATGTGATAAGAGGCAGTGTTGTGTAGTGGTTAGAGTATTGGACCAGGATCCAGGAGACCAGGGTTCAAATTCTCCCCCTTGACCATGAAGCTCACTGAGTGACCTTGGACCAGTCCTTGCTTCTCTCAGCCTAACCTACCTCGCATGGTTGTTATGAGGATAAAATGGGGAGGCGGGGAATGGTACAAGCCACCTAGGAGGGAAAAAGTGGGATATAAATGCAATAAATAAATATTATCCATCCAGGCATGATCAGAGCTCAAGGGGACATTCCGGCCAGCCAGAAGCAGGGGAGGGGATGGGCCTGAGGAAGGGCCAAGCCTGGGGAACAATCCTCCAGGCCTGAGCTTCCCCGTGCCTGCTTTTTGAGACAGCTTGGCTACTGGGAAAATGACTTGACCAAAATTTCAGAGAGTCTCTGGTGTTCAGGGTTAAGGCAAATAAATAATGGTCTTTCAAGTGTTGAAAGCATGTTGCCCCTTCATAATCTTTAACAGCTTTAACATCTTTAACAGTATAAGTATTATGGGAGAGGGGCCATAGCTCAGTGCTAGAGCACCTGCTTTGCACACAGAAGCTCTCCAGTTCAATCCCTGACAGCTCCAGATGGGGCTGGGAATGTCCTCTGCTTGAAACCCTGGATTTCTATGGGGTTTAAGGCAGGGATTTTCCCTGGATCCTACCTGGAGCTGGCAGAGATTGAACTGCAGTCCTTCCTTCTGCATGCAAAGCAGATGCTCTGCCACTGAACGACTGCCCCATAGGAAAGAAGGATCTGCAAACCATGTCTTTCTTCACAGATTCCTGGTAAGGAAATCTGCTTTTGATTTGCTCCCTGGCTAGACTTTGATCAAGCTGACTTGTAGGCAGCAATTCTCCATGGTTGTTAGTCACCCATCTGCAAGAAGACAGTCCAGGTTGCTTTCTGGAAAAGGTGCATGAGCTGACTGCAGTTTCTATAGCTAGGAGTCCCTGGAATGATCAGATTTCTCCTGAAAGTCCATCCCTGTGGAATCCAGCCAGCCAGCCAGGGCATGTCCAGGTGGCTCCAATTTCAGGGTCTCAGGCGCTTCTGATCCTTCCTGGCAGATGTGCTGAGCTCTGCAGCCCTGGGTGATTTTTACCCTGGGCCACACAGATTGGATCAACAAAGGGTGCAATGGTAGTAATGGGGGTAGACTGCTTGGGGTAAGTGGAGGCAAAATATGCTGGCTTTTCTGTGGTTGTGTGATGCTATAGCACTGAGTTTGGCAATGTGTGGAGCCACTGGATAGCACATGCTTTTCTTCTCCTTGGACATTTTGCCAAAGACGCAGGTATGACTAACTCAAATGCACATCGCAGCTGCTGTTCTAGGTCTGTCTAGCTCAGCAACATGGCAATCAAGGACAGTGGATTAATATCTTAAAGATAGTAAGCTGTGCTGGTTGGGATTTATAGCAGCTGTAGTCCAAAGCATCTGGCAAACAAAAGGCTGCTGTTGTTGACAATACTGAACTGGATGGGCATAAGACAGCTTCCTGCAAGAGACCTTTGGGGACAGAGGGATGGAGAACAGACAAAACAAGATAAGATATTTACCTCCAAACTCACTTTCCTGAGTCAGGTGACAGGGGCAAAAACTTGGATGTCTTCCTCATTTACTGCAAGGTGGAAATCAAGAGAAGCCTTTCATTTTTTGTGTGTATTTTTGCAGAATTGGATGAAATTTTCCAGCATAGCAGTTTGTTCAGAGGGGGCAGAGCCTGCAAAATTTCAGTCAAAGAGATGCATTTTCTTTTTGTACTAAGTACCATTAAAGTTTGAGTGTTTAAAAGAACGATTTATTGCTCTTCTTTGTGTGCAATTTGCCTGAATGTGACATTCCCCCATCTCCCCCCCCCCAAAATGTCTCAACAAATGAAACTGATTTGTAAAAATGTTACATGGAAAAAATACGAGAGACATTACACATACTTCTGTAAAACAAGAAAATCTTTAATAAAAAGAAAGAAAGAAAAGAAATCTAGTCAAGTTCCCTGCAAAATTTCAGAAGCATAGAGAAAGGAGTTGGGGGAGGGTGCTATGGGGGAGAACCAATTCTCCCCCACTTTATTTTAGTTATTTTGTTTTCTGCTCAGATTGCAGCAAAGCCACAGTCTTCCTGTCATTGTTGTGACTGGAAATTGAAAGAGAGACTGGGTCAAGTTGTTCTGTCTGGCATCTTGAGGAATCAGTAACAGAATTGCACCCATTTCCTCTGCCTCTCTCCCTTCTATCTGCCTAGTGCTTTA